CAAGTTGCATGTTTGTATGAAACAAATCCATCAAGACAACTTAACTTTAAACTGTTACTTCCAGCTATCCATACTGCTTTCCCCGGTGAAACGTCATCTCATCTGAATCAGGAGAAAAACATGCAGAAACATGTTAACTGATGAACTGGAGTCATGTGGATCATTGTGATGTTTTTAATCAGCTGTTTGGACTCTCATTCTGACGGCACCCTTTCACTGCAGAGGATCCACATGTGCGCAAATGATGCAATACTAAATTTCTCCAAATCTGTTCTGATGAAGAAATAAACCCATCTACATCTTGGATGGCCTGAGAGTGAGTAACGTTCCAGCAAATTTTCATTTTTGGGCGAACTATTCCTTTAATAAGAGAAACTATAAATAATCTAATTTATAAGATGAAACGGCAACAATAAAAATTTTGGGGTGAACTATCCCTTTAAATGTACTCTTGTTTTCACCCTACCACAAGTTGATATCTCTACTAGTGTTGGGTTCGAGTCAACCCAAGTCGAGTCCGAGACAAGTCCGAGTCCAAAATGGGCCGAGTCGGACTCAAGTTCTAGTCCCAAACAGCCAAGACCGAGTCGAGTCCGAGTCCAACGAAACACTATTATTTATTAGTATCTTAACATTGTTTTAACCTTTACAACTAGAAAAATTCAATATCCGTTTAAATGTAACAAAAGCAAACCTCTATTGTATCTTGCCATTTAAATTTTTGATTAATAATTAGTGTCCTGCTTTGCTTCGCAAACTTAAAGTCATGTAACAGAAGTTATGGCTGAATTGATTTATGTATTGTGACATATTTCAGAGTGGAACAGGTTTTAAAATGTGAAAAATTAAAGGGAGGGACTTGACTTTATTAATCGTTAAAATAAATGTATAAATTCAAGGGTGGGGGTATCTTGGTGAATGGGACCTTAAGAGCAGGAAATGCACCTTTTATCTCAATAAAAAACAAGCTTTATATAATTTTTACCATTTTTAATGAAATATGAATTTTGAATAATCAAAATTAGTTTGTGTCAGCTTATTCTATTCATCAGTGTTTGAACCATTAAAGAAGAAACATTTGTCAAAACAAATATGTCTTAGCTGAGCTCTTAATGAAAAATATTTATATATATCAATGTTTTGAACTAAAAAATATTACTTGAAAAATAAAACAAATAATGGTAAATTTAATTGAAAGACAAATTATTAATTGGATTAAGTACTGCTTGAAAAACTTTTTTCAGTGTACATATACTTTCCATAAGTCACAGCCAACTCACACCTGTTTTATTTTTGAATGCATTTATAGTTACATTAATTACAATAAATTACATTATGTAAGGAATAATTGATGACAGACCGTTGAATTATTAGAAAATAATGCACCAACTCACACCGGTTTTATTTTTGAATGCATTTATAGTTACATTAATTACAATAAATTACATTATGTAAGAAATAGGATTACTGATGAAGGGCCGTTGAATTATTAGAAAATAAATGCACACCCAAGGTGATTTTGGACCCATAAAAACTATTGCCACAAAGATGTTAGAAAAAAGATTTTTCTTTGAAGCTAGAAACTGCCACTATGTTTAAAAAAAATTTAATACAAAAGCAAAAAATAATAAACTAATGTAATAAAACATTCTCAATCTTACTGAAGGCAAGTAAACACTCCAAGTATTACTTACAAGCTAAATGATAAATAAATATATTACTCAAAAATACAAATTAAATTGTGTTTTTGTTTTTTTTAGATAGTCTAGTAAAGGCTTCTCTAGAAATAGCCTACTACAGACATTTCATGATGCAATAAATGTTATTTCACGTCTTTTGGACAGAAGGAATGCAACACCCGCTGAGTACAACGATAGAGCTTGAAAGATCAAAGACAATTTTTAATATAACTCCGACTGAATTCGTCTGAAAGAAGAAAGTCATATACACCTAGGATGCATCGGGGGTGAGTAAAACACAGCCTAATTTTTATTTTTGAAAGAGAACTCTGCATTTGCACGCTGACTGAGAGGCGCGTTATTCTGTGAGGTCGCTTTCGGTGTGTGAGCACAGTAACCCGTCGGCTTTCAAGTACTGGACAAGACTTAAAAACACATGCAAATACTGAATATCACTTTTGTGATAATGCATCGAGTCAGTGACATTTCCGTCAACTGTCCCTGGACTCGGTTGGACTCGGACATATTCTGTATATATTATGGCTCGAGTCCGAGTTAAGTCTGAGTAAAAATGCATCCGAGTCCGTGACAAGTCCGAGTCCTTTAAAAAACTGTACTCGAGACTGGACACGAGTACCCCAACTCTAATCTCTACTATTCACCTCCACTGATCTCTACATGATCGAATTCTCTGAGCCAAGAGATCTCACAGTTCCGGGTGTGATGGCAAGAGAGTAACAGGCTCATGGGCTCTAAAAGCATCACTTCCCAATCCTCCCATAATCCTGTGTCTAATACAAACGCACAGAGATTTATCATTTAATACACTTAAGAGGAATTTCTCACATCTCAATAAAAATGCAATGAAAAGCACAGCTTAATAGCACAGTAGGCTTTAGCTAAATCGCTTTAAAAATAGTCACTGGACAAAACTGGGTTTCCGCTCCTCATAGCTATTGTGTAATTAATAAGCAGGCAGTGGGTGCCAGCAGGACTTTGCATGGATACAGCTTTGAGTAAGGACAATTAGGGCCACGGTTAAAGAAAAAAAGTAAAAACAGATCTCACTGATAACACTGGGCAGACAGTGGGATGAAGCTCTGTTCTTCAGAGCCATACAGTGGGAGTGTCACTGGATCTTTGCCACCTTCCCAGAGCCAGGCACAGTGTGGCCACTGTGGAGTCAAAAATAATGGTTCTATGCCTGTGAGGACTGGACCTTCTTCTGAACCTCCACGTGCTGTAGTTCCTGACAGTGGTCCAGCTGTAATCTCCACAATGACGGAGGATTGCAAAGAAGAAAAAAAAAAGGAAAAAAAATCATCCACATCCTTTCCATGGAGATCTGGAAATTTGAGGGGAAGGAAGAGAGGGCACTGTTTTCTGCCTGCCCAATCCCAAAAAAAAAAAAAAAAAAAAAAAGAAATAGCTAGGCTATTTACCAAACACTTCTACTGGAACGTAGAAGCGGGAACACCATTCACCCGGAGGGAGAGGGTTATGGTTTTCAACACAAGGCATGTTTTCAGCATTAGACCAATCGTTGCAGGAGTACAAAGCCAAACCGTCAGAGCCTGTCTCCATGTCGGGGCGGACACGGCGCATTTGGCTGCATAAGTGCCTGCAGAGCAAAGCTCTAGTCTTGGAACGGCTGGGATGGTGGTCTCCATCAAAGTGTGCTGAAGACAGACTTCCTTATTCTATTTCCTCGGGAGGAAATATTGAGTTAAGATTTGCAGAAGCAGCGGAGGAGTTCGTTTTAAGAGGTGGCAGACGTAGCTGAGGGAAGGAGAGGAGCCAATAACTGATGCGCTCTGCTCCCTCTCACTCCCTCAGGGGGCATATTTCTCACAGATTGCAGTCCGACTCTGTCAGGGGTCCAAAGTTGCAGGTCTGGCCCTCTGGAGCCGACCGGGTCGGTCAGTCAGACAGCAGGGTTTGGCAATCTCTCTCCAGACCACACCCTGGCCCCATCAGACCTTTGATACAGGTTATTATGTATAACAAATTACAGGTTTTCAAATGTACTTAGGATTTGTACCTCATAATATCTAAATGTTGCACACACTGAGGGATGTGGCTTGGACTCCACCGCACTTTAAAACGGGAAAATGCCATAAACCAGACAACGACGGAACATTCCATTAGCACATAGGTTTCACCTCATGAAGAGTTTTACATGTCTCCACTCGTGTCGCGCACACCAGGAGATGGTGATACAAGTCTCTTATATCCATAAAACTTCACTTGGGGAAAAAATGCAAAGATCTTAAATGCCCCTAACCTGCATTCAACCTCAACTGACCTTTCTGAAATGAACAATAAAAAAAATTTAAACTGACCAAAAGTCTACACTGTTCAAAAATTATTTCACAGCTGACACCTTCACAGTAACAGCTAAATGCAATAGTTGCAACAACTAATCAATAAAATATATTTAATAACATATATTTGAACAAAACAAAAAGGGAACACAATAATGTTGACAAAATATTCATTTTGATGACAAATGTGTGTGTGTGTGTACAAGTCTCTTATATCCATAAAACTTCACTTGGGGAAAAAATGCAAAGATCTTAAATGCCCCTAACCTGCATTCAACCTCAACTGACCTTTCTGAAATGAACAATAAAAAAAATTTAAACTGACCAAAAGTCTACACTGTTCAAAAATTATTTCACAGCTGACACCTTCACAGTAACAGCTAAATGCAATAGTTGCAACAACTAATCGATAAAATATATTTAATAACATATATTTTAACAAAACAAAAAGGGAACACAATAATGTTGACAAAAATATTCATTTTGATGACAAATGTGTGTGTGTGTGTGTATATACACTGGTGTTCAACATTTTGGGGTTGGTAAGATTTTTGTTATATTTTTAAAGAAGTCTACCATGCTCACCAAAGATGCATTTAGTTGATCAAAAATAGAGTAAAAAGAGTACTGTAAAATTATTATTATTATCATTCAATAATATATTTATTAACATTTTGATCAATTTAATGTGTAAAATCTTTTCCAAAAAAAATCTTAGTGTGTGTGTGTATATAGATAGATATATAGATAGACAGACAAGTGAGATTATAACATAAATGGAAATAAATGGAACATTAAGCATTTTAGCAATGAACAAAAAATGCCTTTGCTTTTGATATATGCATTGTATAATTGTGTCATCAGCCGCAGCTTGTGCTGAAACTGTGCTTGTGTGTAGCTGGAAAACAACCAGATGTGACCTGTGAATATGAAAGCTCCGGCACCAAGTGAGACACTAGGCCGAGCTGACAGTGGAAGTGATGTTGTCGCTGTGCACTCACCCCAAAGAGCCCGTGCTCTTGCACACGCCGAGGAGGGGCCGTTTCTCAGCGAAGCTGTCAGTGTTGAGGGAACCTGCAGCCGGAGGGACAGAAAGGGGAACATTAACCACTGACATAAAGAGGGACATTCATTAGCCACCCGCACATGAGGCCTGTTGTCTCTCCGCCAAAGCCACCCACCCACCGAACTCGAGCTTAAAACAGCTACCGCAGCAGGAAGCGTGTTGATTGCATTACAAGAGATCTGTAATCAAAATTACGCCTTGAAAACGTTTTCAAAAAAATAAAAACTTTCCTGTCAGCTTTGACATTCGTACACCCTCACTTAGAAGAGAATAATGCCCTGTTCCTCACAGAGACTTATGGGGATCATAATGAAATTAAAATACCAGCATGCAAGACATTAAATGGAGACAGAGAACAGAAACGCCACTCAGTGCAATGTGTTGAATGCAAACCATTTCTCCTCCGACTCTAATGGAGAAAGCCTTCAAAGCTTTAGGAGGAGTCTTCTGTCTGACTGGCTTTAATTTCAGGGCTTCGGAGGAATTACAGAATGGCAAAAGGCCGGTAGGCATATTTTGGGTGGAGAAAACATGTCGCAGTGAGTTTACAGATCCCATATTTATCTAATTCTCTTGATTTAAAAGAGATGGGGGGAAAACTTCCATTCTTGTCCGGATAGAAGAAGAAGATGTTAGCCTTTGTGGAGCTGTAATTTGGGCAGCCATGCCATGACACTAATCAGCTCCAGAAACGTACGGCCCCTGTGGCGTGGCATGTGAGTGCAAATGTGTCATTCTCAAACCTTAACAGTTTAAAGGGCCTCTCCTCCGTCTTCACTTCTCTGTCATCAGACATTGCGACTGGTCACGATATCCAATCATAATGCAAATACGACGGGCCTCTGAAAGACAACAGCTGCCTTCCATTTGAAAGAACAATTAAGGGGCAGAAAACCACCCCTTGCTCCTCTCCATCTGTAGATGTGTGTCTCAAAAACGGCTGGACTTTAAAACAAGTGGTTTTCATTTGTATTTTCCAGTGCCTGTTTTCAATCTATGCTGTGAAATATTGAGAGAATTGTTTTCTGGAAGACATAACAAATTTCCTGCATTTCAGTAAATAATACATTTATAGGACAGCTATTTACGAGTGCGCTTTCAGCAGTGGGGTAAATTTAAACAGAGAGGAAGCAATCGCAGATTTCTGGTCAGCTGTGGATATGACCGTCCGTAGCGGTCACCTGGAAATGAATCACTGCAGAAACAACAGCAGAAGTCAAAAACAGAACGGATGCGGAAAAAAAGTCAGTTTGCATTTTTAGAGAAAGCGGAACTTCCTCCTTTATTCTGGGAAAGACATTGCATTATTAAAATTGACACCTATTTTCAGGACTTTCCAAATCCGCTCACCCAGCTAAAACAATTACTCTTTTTAAATCCCACTACAGTATGACACTGTTTGCGCCAAACAGATCACGATCAGTTTCCCCACTTGTAAAATTCATTTGATTTAGCTGAGAAGCGTTCTCCTCATGTGTCGGCCGTCTGCTGCTTCTTATTATGACAATTCTCTTTTATCTGAATCCAGCCGGCGTTCAATGCCTTTATTGTGCATTGTTTAAATCTGCCGAAAGAACAGAACACAAATTCTGTGCATAAATGTCACACTACAATACGACTCAGTGCATTTCCTATTCCTTTTGTTTTTACATTTGAATATGACCATGCCACTTATTTAGAGAGAGATAAAAAAAAAATCTGACTATATAATATCTGAACAGATAATATCCTGTTTTAGTCATAACAGAAAGTGTGCAAAATCATCAAACAGGAAGAAAAAAAAAATGTGAAAGGGATAATTTGGCATAACATTAATATTTAAGCATACCGAATCAGGTTGCGTGTATTTTAGTTTAGTAAGATGTAGCGTGCATTTTTTTGTCAGACTATTCATTTTCGTCCTTTAACAAATGGAATGAGCACAGGCATGCGATGGCCAATGAGTGAGCCGTGATGAAAGAGAAGGTAAATCTCAGAAGTCTGCAGTTCCTCTCTGCCAGAGCAGCGGTAAAAGTCCAGGCAGCCAGCTGACAGCATGCCAACATAATTGTGAAGGACTGATTTTAATATTATGAAGGGAAAACAGCGGGGCTCTGGCGAGCTCTCAGCGCTATTAAGAAACAGAAGGTAGTCTTTAATTTAAACATGATATATGGAAAAGCCAGTAAGGAAGAAAGACATGGAACTGTATAAATTGCCACATCTCGGTCTAGCTTAACGCCACTCAGTGCAATGTGTTGAATGCAAACCATTTCTCCTCCGACTCTAATGGAGAAAGCCTTCAAAGCTTTAGGAGGAGTCTTCTGTCTGACTGGCTTTAATTTCAGAGCTTCGGAGGAATTACAGAATGGCAAAAGGCCGGTAGGCATATTTTGGGTGGAGAAAACATGTCGCAGTGAGTTTACAGATCCCATATTTATCTAATTCTCTTGATTTAAAAGAGATGGGGGGAAAACTTCCATTCTTGTCCGGATAGAAGAAGAAGATGTTAGCCTTTGTGGAGCTGTAATTTGGGCAGCCATGCCATGACACTAATCAGCTCCAGAAACGTACGGCCCCTGTGGCGTGGCATGTGAGTGCAAATGTGTCATTCTCAAACCTTAACGCTTTAAAGGGCCTCTCCTCTGTCTTCACTTCTCTGTCATCAGACATTGCGACTGGTCACGATATCCAATCATAATGCAAATACGACGGGCCTCTGAAAGACAACAGCTGCCTTCCATTTGAAAGAACAATTAAGGGGCAGAAAACCACCCCGTGCTCCTCTCCGTCCATAGCTGTGCACCTCAAAAACGGCTGGACTTCGAAACAAGTGGTTTTCATTTGTATTTTCCAATGCATGTTTTCAATTTATTCTGCGAAATATTGAGGGAATTGTTTTCTGGAAGTCAGACATAACAAATTTCCTGTGTTTCAGTAAATAACACATTTATTGGAGGGCCATTTACGAGTGAGCTTTCAACAGTGGGATACATTTAAAGAAAGAGGAAGCAATCACAGAATTTTGGTCAGCTGTGGATATGACCGTCCGTAGCTTTCACCTGGAAACAAATCACTGCAAAAATAACAACAGAAGTCAGAAACAGAACGGATGCAGGAAAAAAGTCAGTTTGCCTCTTTAGAGAAAGAGGAACTTCCTCCTTTATTCTGGGAAAGACCTTGCCTTATTAAAATTGACACCTATTTTCAGGACTTTCCAAATCCGCTCACCAAGCTAAAACAATTACTCTTTTTAAATCCCACTACAGTATGACACTGTTTGCACCAAACAGATCACAATCAGTTTCCCCACTTGTACAATTCATTTGATTTAGCTGAGAAGCGTTCTCCTCATGTGTCGGCCGTCTGCTGCTTCTTATTATGACAATTCTCTTTTATCTGAATCCAGCCGGCGTTCAATGCCTTTATTGTGCATTGTTTAAATCTGCCGAAAGAACAGAACACAAATTCTGTGCATAAATGTCACACTACAATACGACTCAGTGCATTTCCTATTCCTTTTGTTTTTACATTTGAATATGACCAAGCCACTTATTTAGTGAGGGCTGAATTAAAAAAAATCTCACTTCATAATTTCTGAACAGATAATATCCTGTTTTAGTCACAGAAAGTGTGCAAAATCATCAGACAGGAAGAAACAAAATGTGAAAGAGACAGTTTGACATAACATCAATATTTAAGCATACCTAATCAGGTTGCGTGTATTTTAGTTTAGTAAGCTATAGTGTGCATTTTTTGTCAGACTATTCATTTTCGTCCTTTAACAAATGGAATGAGCGCAGGCATGCGATGGCCAATGAGTGAGCCGTGATGAAAGAGAAGGAAAATCACAGAAGTCTGCAGATCCTCACTGCCAGAGCGGCGGTAAAAGTCCAGGCATCCAGCTGACAGCATGCCAACATAATTGTGAAGGACTGATTTTAATATTATGATGGGAAAACAGCGGGGCTCAGGCGAGCTCTCTGCGCTATTAAGAAACAGAAGGTAGTCTTTAATTTAAACATGATATATGGAAAAGCCAGTAAGGAAGAGAGACATAGGACTTTATAAATTGCCACATCTCAGTCTAACTTGATTCGAAAAAGCATGTAACTGCCGAAAACTGATTTTACTTTCTGCAAATTTCTAGACAAATAACAGTGGCAAACATGACATGTAAAATAACGTGCTGTTTATGTAACATATGACATGTGAAATACATTTAAGCGCTCTGTCAACACATATTTCAATTTGGGGGTGGACGCTTGTTCTTGACAAGCTGGAAATTAAGATGTCACTGGAATGAAGAATTTGTAATAATATTTCAGAGCAGCAGTTTTACTTGCAGTAATGAAAATACTTCTAGCAGGGCTTGTAGAGCTTAGGTCTATTCTAGAACACAGTAGGGAAAAACGATGCTTAATGTAAAAAATTTATTATTTTTCTGCCTTCTTAGGATGGAAAAAAATAATTGTCTTGCTGTTCAGTCTGCACTACCATTCAAAAAGTTTGGGATCTGTAAGGTTTTCTCCGTTTTTCAAAGAGGTTTCTTATGCTCACCAATGTTGCATTTATTTGATCAGAAATACAGTAAAACACAGTAATATTGTGAAATATTATTGCAATGTAAATTTTAAAAATTTCTGTAATTTGTGATATAAATAAATATAATAAAATGTAATTTATTTCTGTGATGTCAAAGCTGAATTTTCAGTATAATTACTCCAGTCTTCAGTGTCACATAATCACCCAGAAATCATTCTAATATGCTGATTTGCTGCTCAAGAAAACTTTCTTATTATAAATGTTGTGCTGTTTAATATTTTTTTGGAAACCTTTTTTCAGGATTCTTTGATGAATTAAAAAGTTCAAAAGAACAGCATTTATTTGAAACACAAAAGTCTTTACTGTCACTTTTGATCAATATAATGCACCCTTGGTGAATAATTGTATTAATTTCTTTTCTTTTTTTTAATCTTTTGAATGGTAATGCATGTCAAGTTTTGCATATTGCTGGGCCTATGCAGAATTAACAAATTTCTTTGTTTGATTTCAAAAACATTTTTGTAGGGGCCACTATATGTTAAAAGTAATGCACTTATGTGGCTCTGCAGGATGAGCGAAGCCCGGGCTTTTGGGGTGTATGATACTCACTGATATGAGGAGCAGGCAGGATCCTAGCAGTTCGCACAGGTCCGTGCCGCACAGAGAACAGCTCCTGTGCCTCCCCATTCAGCTGCCGAGAGAAGAAACAAACAGGCACACTTAAAACACACCAGACAGTGATGTTAGAGAGATAAACTCAGTTCAAAGACACAGAAAAGAGGACCGTGGGAGTGAGAATGTGGTGATGCATAAACTGTGGAGGTGCATACGAGTTTGTACCAGAGCCACATCACAAAGGTTATCAGGCCCGAGACAAAATGGCATCCATATAACAGTACAGAGTTGACGGGGCTCCAGCATTTGATCTTTTATTTGTACATTAGCTGGCACATTCCATTTGAAAGTGTTGACACAGAGTGTCCGACTGAGAAACAGCCATGACGAATGTCCTAAATACTGTGGCATCCCTTTGGAACATTAACGACATAAAAGTACTAGACTGTGAATCACACAATGCTCTGTTTGGTCTGCAGCGTCTGTGATGTGGTTTGATAATGAGTCACCCAACAACTAGATAAACATCAGGCATCTGTGGACAAACCAAAGCAAGACACTACAAAAAAAAAAAACACTGCCGTGTAATGTTATCTGGTCTCCGGAAATGAACGGAAAATGATTAAAAGCCGCAAAACTCAATTCTGCAACAAACATGCTCTTAAATGTCACTTGTGCTGTTTTCAAAGCTACAGTCCGTTTTTTTCATAGTCAAATTATCCTATCCCAGCTTAATGGAACAATTCACCCAAAAATGAAAATCATGGGTGAATCATTTACTTGTTCCAAACCCTGTATGACTTTGTTTCTTCAGTGGAACACAAAAGGAGAAATTGTTAAGAATATCCCAGCCATTCTTTTTAAAATAATGAATATGAATGAGCACTGGGACTGTCAAGCTCCAAAATGACAAAAAGCTCCTCTGACGTATCATAAAAGTGGTTAATAGGACTCATACATTATATTCCATGTCTTCTAAAGCCATAAAGTAAAGTAATAGCTTTGTGTCAAGAACACACCAAAATTTAAGTCATTATTCAAACTTTGATTAGCTCTTCTTAAAGAAGTAGCGATGAAAAGTATTGATGTTCGCGTTCACAAACTAGTCATTCTTTTGAACTGGATCTTTTCAAAGAGCTGATTTACTGGTTTATCATCTCAATGATTTAGTCACAACGACTCAGTTAACGAGGTCACAGCTTCATATTCAATTACTTATATAAAGACTTCAGTAGGTTGACTACCCCATTGTAACATTCCATGTGTCCGAAATCGCCCCCTATACCCTTAAATAGGGCAATATTTGAGGGGACAGCCATTTTTATTGGTGTCTAAAACCTTTGTGGACGTTATGGAGGCACTCATTCAATCCCACATTGCACCGCATTAACGAGAGTGCAACTGATGTACGCTCAACGGCTAGAGAATACCCATAATGCATTGTGAGAGTCACGTGCCGAATGAATTGGTGCGAGTTTGGGGGTGGGACTATCTGCTATGCTAGGCCTGGGCGATAAAACGGTATCGACCTGTGGCCTCGGGAGACAAGCCAAAAGATTCATTGAGACCTATTTAATCTGCATATAAAACATTAGAAATTAGATATTTGTTTAATTTTTACACATTTTTAATTTTGACTGTTAAAACAAAAAATATTTGCTGTTTGTCTCAATAAATTGGGTTCATTTAAAAACACAGTGGTTAAACTTAAATGTTTTTTTCTATTGCTCTTTGTTTTAAAAAAGGTTATAAAAAATGTCAATAATTATCGATACCGAACGATATGAAACATTATATCGTTGATAAATTTTTTTAGCTATATCACCCAGCCTTATGCTATGCAACCAATTAGTTTTTCAGGAAACTTGTTTCAAGATTGCAGTTTTTTTTTGTTTTTTTTTTATCTCTGATCCATTCAGAGTTATTAAGTCTTTTCTTGCCCCTGCCAGTGTAGGAAAAAAAGTCTTTTCTTGCCCCTGCCAGTGTAGGAAAAATCTGAATTGCTGATCAACTCAATGCCATTTGGGGGCAAAAATGTGGTTGCGGGATATCAAAGAACAATGGGGCGTAAACAAAGAGAGATTTGTTCACACTGTAGAACAAATCAAGGCAAACTGAGAGAAACAGACTTCACATGAAGGATGGAGGGTGAGCCAACAACTAAACCACAAAACAAAAGCTACTATGCATTCCATAAAAGTGCTCCTCAAATAAACAACACCATGTCCATGACTAACCGTCCCAGGCCGATATGCTGCACCTAGCTACAATTGATTGAACTGTAATATCAATACACACCTAAATCAGATTAGTCTGAATCACGTCATTCTCACACAAACACTGTAATAAGCTGGTGGAAATCCAGAGATCTGTGAAACCGAAGCTGGGGAGTGGCGTATCAAAATGCAAGGGCGGAAATATTTTGATTGGCGCCCCTTTTATTCTAGCTTTTTGTTTTAAGCATTAAGCCCTGAATGTGCATCTCTATGTGCATTAAATTACAGAAACGACCTTTATCACATTACTGGGCATAATCCATGTGTCTTAAGCAGATAAGCCCACAGAGGATGATCGCTCTTTTGCACAATTAGTAGCTTTTCGAATGCAAGATCAGAGCTGTTTTTTTATTAAAATCGCTCGGTGCAGACTTTGTAGCTGCCAAGTGGGAGATTAATATGGCATCTACAGCATGATACATTTGATGTGAGAGAGACAGAAGGGGAGAAAACAAGAGAGAGAGGTAATGCACGCGGGTCACCACAAAACAAAACCCCCAGCTGGCAAACGGGGCAGAGGAATAATGGAATTTAGCGGATTGTGAGGTTTACATTAATGCGACTGTCATTGTGCATTACCAGACTGCTCATCCTCGCTTTACACGGCTTTAGTGGTGGCATCCATCACCAAACTCTCAGCTATTACATTAATATTTATCACAGCAACATGCAAAAATGAGGCTTCTTTCTTGTTTTTCCCTCTTGTTGTTTCTAATTTCATTCACATGGATACAGTGTATGCTGATCATAAAATTAGTTTTGTTAATCTCCAGCCACTCTGTGTGATGGATTTCAGGGAATCGGAGTGAATCAACAGTACCTGGAGCTGAGAGAAACGGCAGCGCTATATGTATTCTTAGAAAGCAGAGTGCATCTGAAAGCAGAGCAGACAATGCCCCACAATAGACAAGAAGGATTGGTGACGTCTCTGTCTCCTGGCCTTCTGGGCTCTTGATATGATAGTACAGATATGAGCTTCTGATATCCTTCCTAAATTACACTACATCAACCTAGCTGAAGTGTCTGAAGTCCAATCCAAAATACTTAAAATGTTCAATGCAATTATCATTTATTGTTTCTGTGAAGGGAACTTAACTGTTAAATCTGAGAAAAAGAGAACATAATAAATCCTATCCAATTTTCCAAGATATACTTCAATATCCAGTATTTAATGCATGACCAAGTGGGTTTTTGGCTAATGCAATAACATTTAAATGCCATAATATCCTCTGATAATTAAAATTATATTTTTTTTTATATATTATCACATTCTAAGCTAATACAAATAAGCAGATAATTATTTTTCATGTTATGGCAAATAACCTATAAATGGCCTCTACAAAACTTTATATTATTTATAATATTTGCTAAATAAATTTCTAAATAAAGCTAAATGAACCACTAAAAACTAAAATCAATGGTAATAGTTGCTAGGTGAGGTTAATTTAGATATAACGTTATAATGTGCAGTATGAAAAAAATTTATTTTGAGATTTGCTGAAGTTATGTTTAATAGTGTTATTAAATTGGATCAGTTGTTTCTTGTTTAATCTATAAATAAAAGTGTTTGCTCAATCAATATAATTTTAAATATAAATGATTTTAAAGGTTTACTTTAAGTGAGCAAGTGATGACAAAGACAATCTAAATGTAAAAAAATAAGGGAATATGAATGAATAATAAAATAAACAATAGTGACTGCTGCTCTTATATTAAAATTAATTAGTAAGTAAATAAATGTATCCTTATCAGTTAATCACTCAGTAAACATGCTTAATTTCTGCGGCACTATCATCACCACAGAGACTCAAACAGGTTTCTCAAGTCAAACACCCGTTTCTACACATTGGAACCAGGGTGGAAGAAAACGATGAAATGCATTGAGCTGCTTTAATAATAACAGCAGAGCAGACACCTCCAGTGTACTGCATGTCATCTTTCCACTCAAACACCACTTCAATCAGCCCCGTCTAATCTAACTGCTATGTCCTGCCAGCCAGCAACACCTCCATCAAAGATTCAGCTCCACCAAGATGCTAATGCACAGGAATGCAGAAATGTACTACGGCTAGTGCCACTCCTGCTCCTCCCTTCAACACCATTACAGAAGGTGTCGGCTCAGCAACTGTCACAAACACTTTGCAGGCAACTTATAGCCAGACACTGTGACGCTTTCAACACTTTCACAAAAAGTGTGAGATGATGTCTGTAATGATGCTCTAAAGCTTCCAAATTCATGTCATAAGGAAGTGCAACTCTTTCCTAAAGTGATTACTGTCAGGACATTCATAAGTTCCTAAAATAAAGGCTTAGTCAGGGTGACAAATCACATAATATGACAGATATCTTCATCTCTATTACCATATGACTGAGACAGCCAAGTCAGAAACCTTTTAAATTGAAATTGATATTTTCACTGGTTTACTGCGGAAGCAATATCATGTTTAGTTACGATTAGTTTTGACATTTGACACGATTCAGAGCTTAACATGCATCTTGACATCATTTCGCCCAACTTCAATACTAAAATCTGTATTCCAGGACACAGCCTTGCCTTTGTCTATGGCGACACCAAGTGGTGAAAGAGAGTCACAGCATTACACAGCAACAAAACAACAGCAAGTCAGCAATATCAAACACAATCTTAAGGTCGTTTGTGAGTTATATTAGACTTAATATTGATTTTAAATACAAAACTGGAATAAAATAAAAAAAGCTAGATTCCCGTATTTATTTTCAAGACAAAAGACAATGAATATAGTACACACCAGATAGTGTGTAGTAGGCAGTACATCAGTATTGATTTCACCGCTGATCATCGCTGTCTACACTCCATTAGCACCAAAATCAATGATTTTCAGTTGCTTCGTCAATGCAAACCATTGTCAGTGTGAACATCCCTTAAGGCAGACATACAGAAAGAGTGGTGTAGAGAAAAACATGCTAGTGCTTACTTCGCAACCGTAAAAAAATATGTTCTATTTAGTATGAATGTGTGTTACATGAATGCATTCCAGAACATTTTTCAAGTTGTCATTGTCATGTGACCTACAGCATCTGTTGCATCACTTCATTGCCATTCGCACTCTCCGGTAGTCTCATTGTATAGTAAAGTATCCACTGGCTGTGCATTTCAGAATCTCACGAGTCACCAGAAGTAGTAGTTTATCCAAGTACTTTTTTCCTACTGTTTTATGAACGCTGTGAAATCGGGCATACTACTCTTTTCAAATACTATTTTTAGCCTACTACATAGTCAGCAAGTATGCGTATTTGGAAGCAGCCAGTGTAAAAGAGGCAAGAAAGACTATTTAAAAAGTACTCACTGATATACTCCAAATCTGCATTCCATCCGTGTAGCCAATCATCAAGCAGAGAGGTGGGTCAGTGCCGCTGCCATGCATCTCTTGGAACTCTGGTAAGCGGGCCACATCTGGACACAGGGCAAGAAACACACGTAGTTAGAAATGACACAGAAGTAAAACAAATAATTCACAAAGCAAGTAATTCACAAAGGCTTGACATAAGTTGTAAACAACTCAATAAACAAACAAGACACAGATGATCAGAACAATGGAATACATAAATAATGATTCAAAAGTTGCCAAAATATGGCACCTTTCTGATCGCCACTGTTTAGTCTTCTGATGAAAAGAAAGTGTAAAAGCAAAGATCATGGCCGAGTTGTCAATACAACTGGAAAATGAGGAAAATTATGTCTAATCTTCTGACAGTCATCTCATCACCTCATGATATGTTTGCTGGAATGAGGAGCATGTTCAGCATTTAGATGATCCAACATTGGTGCAATTAGAAACTTTGCTAACCCAATATGACAAGATAAATACAAACTAGTAGCCTCAAACCACATTTAGGATTTGTGTAACATTTCAATGCTTGTTATACTGTTTTTTTTTTTTTTTATGAATTATTTTTTGCATTAAATTGCTCAAATGGGACAACAAAAATATTTATATCACAAAATATTTCTACTTCAAAAAAATGCTGTTCTGTTCTTTAGAACATTTTATTCTTTAAAAAAAAAATCTCAGAAAAAAAAATCTCAGTTTTCATGTTTCATGTCAAAAAGACTGGAGTGATGGCTGCTGAAAATTCAGTATTGCCATCACAGGAATAAATTATATTTTTAAATATATTCAAATAAAAAGGTACATTTAAATAATAATATTTCACAATAAATCATAATACCCAAATGAATGCAGCCTTGGTGAGCATAAGAAACCACAATTTAAAAAAAAAAAAAAATTCCCCACAACATCTAATAGTACAGCGTGACCAATGTGGTGTAGTCTGATTCACAAACAAATGATTTCCATGAGTCAGTTCTTTTTAGTGAATCAAAAACATGCAGTATGACCAATCTGATGTAGTCTGACTAACAAACAGATGATTCATATGAGCTGGTTCTTTTAATGAATCAAAACACACTGCACAAACTTACCATTGATGTCTGTTTTTTCAAAACGGACCCAAACTATCTTCTCTTTTTCATCATTTGGAGGTGTCCCAGTATATGCCTGAAAATTCAAAGATTAATAAAGGCTAGATTTGTTTCCTAACTAAATTGTTCTTACTCTCACTAGCTATCACTTATATGTCTAAAAAGGGAGTCTTTCATAGGCTCTCGACATTTTTACAACAGAAATACACTGAAAATCAAGCATTATCCAACATGGACTTTAAATTACAACACAGAAGAAAAAAAGCAACATCTTAAGGGGGAAAAAAACATTTACCTGAGGGACTACATCCTGCAAGAACGTAACTACACTCTCCATGTATGACTGCTCTCTGCAAAACAGTAAAAACAATTCTCATGAAAATAATATAACCACATAAATAGAGACCTGTCCATTTAAACCTAAAAGTTTGTGAACCAATGCAATATTTTGTCACCTTTTTGTTTATGACAACCAACATCTTAACATTTACAATACTGAACACTGAATTGGCTTTACAGCTGTAATTTTATTCACAAACGAGCTATTATGGTCTTACGTTGCAGCCTGTGCTCGAACCACAACCCCACCAGCACAGCGGCTCGGTCTGCGCGGGGAGTCAGACGCCATGGCCAACCACTCAGTACCCTGTTGGAGCAGAGCAAGAGAAGATGCAGTCATGATTTTCATATGATCATTACACTAAACATCAATGCAGAGATGCCTCATTGATCATCCTGATCTCAGTATTACTCTAAATTCAACAGAAGTAAAAGGCTACATATGATAACTGCATCACTACAGACCATCCACCTTGCAGATGGATGTAAACAAATAAGGCACAGATGTGCCTGGCTCAGTTTAATCTGCACAACAGACCCATTCCTGTTAAGTATTGATCCTGTAAACGATCTAACACAGACTTGCTACGACAAGCGAGACAAAATAAAACATTTTAAATCAACTCCAGCAAGATTTGCTAGTAACCAAACAATAGGATGTAAATACCTTTATTACCATCATAATAATGCGAGTAGCTCTTGATTTAGTTACATTTTGCATTACATTTAACACAATTTAATGTAAGACAATGTGCAAAAAGATGTCAAGAGTGTATCAGAGAAAACACAGCTGTGAGTTTTGTCAGCTCAACATTTCAGCATATCAACTATCTCCAGTCTGTTACGTTAGCTTAGCCAATACCGCTATCTGTCGTTACAACGCTTCAAAGACAATAAGCTGAGCCATGACAATAACTTTTCTGACTTCCTGAAAGAAATATAAATGTTATGTATGTAAGAAATGCAGTTGAATGTTTAATGAAGCGACATTTGTACTAACCAGAGGTTTTGTGTTTTGAATTCGGATCAACAGAGGTCCTCACAAATCGCCACAGTGAAGCTGGCATGCAGCGGAAACAACAGATGCTTTGGCCAATCAGTGATGAGCATCGGAGACGGATAGCCAATAGTCAGGACAAAGGTGGGCACTTGGACCTTTCTGACCAATAGTGGATGGCAAGGACTGTTTGGGTTTTTTTGTTCGCTGAACGAATCTGACGCGTTGTTAAAATTAACATCAACATCAAGGTGAAGTGTTATATAAAGCAATATTTCTTTGTTTCACGCTCATATGAGCATATCCACATTTGAAATTTTGCACAACAGCCTGGATAACCGTGCACGTTACATCACGTCACGCTGATGTGTTTATTTACATCGAAGTATCGCGTGATCACCAACCAAGCTATTTCGCACAACCTCGGTTTCTTTCGGAAAAACGAAGTTTTAGTCACAAAAAAATTATGAATGTATAGTGGTTCTTATCTTCTAAGGATGTCTTGAAATTATTTAAACTAGTTATATTAAAATAACTTAATGCAAACTGAAATCATATTTCTTATTTTAATTTGCCTCTTTAACAACTTTCAATGTTTTTATTGAAGAGCATAGTTTTCAACATTTTTATTGACCTGTTTAGCATAGCAGCACCTTTAGTTTAGAATGACAATTTCTCCCATCATAGGAAAAAAACAATGTTAATGAAATCCTTGAAACATTAAAATAACCATGTTTAAAATCCATAATGTATAATTCATATAAAGTTCATGCTTGCATACAATGTTAATAAACCTTATGACACAGGGTTAAGATAGCAGCAAACACTAGAAATTATGTACCGTTCTCCTTGTTCAGTAAAACCATGTACAAAAAAAAAACTAGAACATTGATCCCAAAGAGATTAAATCTTTTTGAAACAGGCGACATGTACGCTGTAGGGAAATATCTTCTCAGAAGATGGAATTTCTTTTTTTTTTTTGTCATTTTTCCCCACAATCCTCCAATTTTCCAAAAAGACTGCACAAATTCAACTTAAAGTGCAAAAATCCCTATTTGATCCATCAAAAAAAAAAAAATCAAAACACATTTTCATTAGTCTGCAAAATATAAAGTATAACAATATACCACTAACATAGACTAAAATATGAGTGTCGTGAATGGAAGCAAGTGATTTTTGTTTGTTTGTTAGTTTCTTTCTTTTTTTGACATTGTTACTTGCTTTAGGATTTGGTTTCTCAGTAGCTTATATCAACTAATATGAGAGTCTGACTGTCCAGCATAAGTGTACGGATTGCATTGTATTAGGACCATGAACGTCAGCAAACACATACAGTAGCCTTCCCATGCTGTTGAAGCAGCGCTTGGACATTTTCAGACGGTTTCTGACCATTGCCGCCACCACCGCTCCTCGCCGAGGACTGTGTGCTCGGTTTCTTTGAAGATGAACATGAGGACTCTTTAAGAGGGGAATGGGACAAACTACGACGGGGTTTCTTCAGCACAGGTGAGGAGGAATCCTCTAGCATCCTTTTGCCTGTAGGCACTCTGTCACAATGGGCCTCATTTTCCAGTGAGTCATTACAAGGCAGGTCTTCACAGTTTGTAAGGCTATCAGGAGATGATTCAAATATCATGCTCGTCTTACAGCTGCCGTTTTGCTGCTCCGTGATGGGCTGTACTTGAGTGTCAGGAGCCTATAAAACAAGGAACTATGTATGAAGCTTGAGTGTGGTGTTATTTTTTATCTAAATCCACAATAAAATACAATACAAAACAAAAACAATAGCCTTATAAAATGAAGCAGGCCTTAATTCATTGAATGGACACCGCTGTTGTATTGTTAAAAGAACAGTTCACCTCAAAAAAGAAAATTTGCTGACCGTGTACTCACCCTCAGGCCACCCAAGACAAAGATGAATTTGTTCATTCATCGGAACAAATTTAAAGAAATTTAGCATTACATCACTTGCTCACCAATGGATCCTATGCAGTGAATGAGTGCCATCAGAATGAGTCCAAACAGCTGATAAAAACATCACAATAAAACAGTTTTAAACAAATATGTCAGTGGATTTTGATGTGAGAGGACAACAGAAAATAATATAACCACATAAATAGAGACCTGTCCATTTAAACCTAAAAGTTTGTGAACCAATGCAATATTTTGTCACCTTTTTGTTTATGACAACCAACATCTTAACATTTACAATACTGAACACTGAATTGGCTTTACAGCTGTAATTTTATTCACAAACGAGCTATTATGGTCTTACGTTGCAGCCTGTGCTCGAACCACAACCCCACCAGCACAGCGGCTCGGTCTGCGCGGGGAGTCAGACGCCATGGCCAACCACTCAGTACCCTGTTGGAGCAGAGCAAGAGAAGATGCAGTCATGATTTTCATATGATCATTACACTAAACATCAATGCAGAGATGCCTCATTGATCATCCTGATCTCAGTATTACTCTAAATTCAACAGAAGTAAAAGGCTACATATGATAACTGCATCACTACAGACCATCCACCTTGCAGATGGATGTAAACAAATAAGGCACAGATGTGCCTGGCTCAGTTTAATCTGCACAACAGACCCATTCCTGTTAAGTATTGATCCTGTAAACGATCTAACACAGACTTGCTACGACAAGCGAGACAAAATAAAACATTTTAAATCAACTCCAGCAAGATTTGCTAGTAACCAAACAATAGGATGTAAATACCTTTATTACCATCATAATAATGCGAGTAGCTCTTGATTTAGTTACATTTTGCATTACATTTAACACAATTTAATGTAAGACAATGTGCAAAAAGATGTCAAGAGTGTATCAGAGAAAACACAGCTGTGAGTTTTGTCAGCTCAACATTTCAGCATATCAACTATCTCCAGTCTGTTACGTTAGCTTAGCCAATACCGCTATCTGTCGTTACAACGCTTCAAAGACAATAAGCTGAGCCATGACAATAACTTTTCTGACTTCCTGAAAGAAATATAAATGTTATGTATGTAAGAAATGCAGTTGAATGTTTAATGAAGCGACATTTGTACTAACCAGAGGTTTTGTGTTTTGAATTCGGATCAACAGAGGTCCTCACAAATCGCCACAGTGAAGCTGGCATGCAGCGGAAACAACAGATGCTTTGGCCAATCAGTGATGAGCATCGGAGACGGATAGCCAATAGTCAGGACAAAGGTGGGCACTTGGACCTTTCTGACCAATAGTGGATGGCAAGGACTGTTTGGGTTTTTTTGTTCGCTGAACGAATCTGACGCGTTGTTAAAATTAACATCAACATCAAGGTGAAGTGTTATATAAAGCAATATTTCTTTGTTTCACGCTCATATGAGCATATCCACATTTGAAATTTTGCACAACAGCCTGGATAACCGTGCACGTTACATCACGTCACGCTGATGTGTTTATTTACATCGAAGTATCGCGTGATCACCAACCAAGCTATTTCGCACAACCTCGGTTTCTTTCGGAAAAACGAAGTTTTAGTCACAAAAAAATTATGAATGTATAGTGGTTCTTATCTTCTAAGGATGTCTTGAAATTATTTAAACTAGTTATATTAAAATAACTTAATGCAAACTGAAATCATATTTCTTATTTTAATTTGCCTCTTTAACAACTTTCAATGTTTTTATTGAAGAGCATAGTTTTCAACATTTTTATTGACCTGTTTAGCATAGCAGCACCTTTAGTTTAGAATGACAATTTCTCCCATCATAGGAAAAAAACAATGTTAATGAAATCCTTGAAACATTAAAATAACCATGTTTAAAATCCATAATGTATAATTCATATAAAGTTCATGCTTGCATACAATGTTAATAAACCTTATGACACAGGGTTAAGATAGCAGCAAACACTAGAAATTATGTACCGTTCTCCTTGTTCAGTAAAACCATGTACAAAAAAAAAACTAGAACATTGATCCCAAAGAGATTAAATCTTTTTGAAACAGGCGACATGTACGCTGTAGGGAAATATCTTCTCAGAAGATGGAATTTCTTTTTTTTTTTTGTCATTTTTCCCCACAATCCTCCAATTTTCCAAAAAGACTGCACAAATTCAACTTAAAGTGCAAAAATCCCTATTTGATCCATCAAAAAAAAAAAAATCAAAACACATTTTCATTAGTCTGCAAAATATAAAGTATAACAATATACCACTAACATAGACTAAAATATGAGTGTCGTGAATGGAAGCAAGTGATTTTTGTTTGTTTGTTAGTTTCTTTCTTTTTTTGACATTGTTACTTGCTTTAGGATTTGGTTTCTCAGTAGCTTATATCAACTAATATGAGAGTCTGACTGTCCAGCATAAGTGTACGGATTGCATTGTATTAGGACCATGAACGTCAGCAAACACATACAGTAGCCTTCCCATGCTGTTGAAGCAGCGCTTGGACATTTTCAGACGGTTTCTGACCATTGCCGCCACCACCGCTCCTCGCCGAGGACTGTGTGCTCGGTTTCTTTGAAGATGAACATGAGGACTCTTTAAGAGGGGAATGGGACAAACTACGACGGGGTTTCTTCAGCACAGGTGAGGAGGAATCCTCTAGCATCCTTTTGCCTGTAGGCACTCTGTCACAATGGGCCTCATTTTCCAGTGAGTCATTACAAGGCAGGTCTTCACAGTTTGTAAGGCTATCAGGAGATGATTCAAATATCATGCTCGTCTTACAGCTGCCGTTTTGCTGCTCCGTGATGGGCTGTACTTGAGTGTCAGGAGCCTATAAAACAAGGAACTATGTATGAAGCTTGAGTGTGGTGTTATTTTTTATCTAAATCCACAATAAAATACAATACAAAACAAAAACAATAGCCTTATAAAATGAAGCAGGCCTTAATTCATTGAATGGACACCGCTGTTGTATTGTTAAAAGAACAGTTCACCTCAAAAAAGAAAATTTGCTGACCGTGTACTCACCCTCAGGCCACCCAAGACAAAGATGAATTTGTTCATTCATCGGAACAAATTTAAAGAAATTTAGCATTACATCACTTGCTCACCAATGGATCCTATGCAGTGAATGAGTGCCATCAGAATGAGTCCAAACAGCT